GGCGCCACTGGCTGCGGTGAGTTCCCCTCCCGCCCCCCCCACGTCCAGCACTGCGACAACCCTCACCCCGCCCCCACGTCCAGCCCTGGGACACCCTTTGTCCCACCCTCACGTCCAGCACTGTGACACCCTCGTACCGCCGTCTGCCCGCAGGTTCTTCTTCCTGTACCACTTCGCTTTCTACGCCTACCACTACCGCTTCAACGGGCAGTACAGTAGCCTGGCCCTGGTCACCTCCTGGCTCTTCATCCAGGTGTGCATGGGCCCAGCAGAAGGAAGTGTGGGGCCTGGGCCCTGCTGGAGAGGAGGGGTGGGGAGCCTGGGATATGGTTACTGGTCCTCCTATGGAGGACAAATGAAGCAGAGCCAGGGTGCTGCAGGGGTCAAGGTTGGGCTGTGGAGGGGGGGGCTGTGACCCTCATTCCTGCCCCTCCCCCCAGCACTCCATGGTTTACTTCTTCCACCATCACGAGCTGCCGGCCATCCTGCAGCAGGTGCGCATCCAGGAGTTGCTGCTGCACGCGCCTGCGCCAGGCCCCGGCTCCCCGACGGCGCTGCAGGACAGCCTTAACAACAACGCAGCTGCGCCTGGCCAGCCCACCACGCAGCCCCCTGCCCTGGGCCCTGTGGCTGCCGGCACAGGAGGGACCCCCGAGGCTGTGGCGCCCAGTTCCCTGGTGGCAGCCGCGGCGTCTGTGGCGGCAGCGACTGGAGGTGACCTGGGTTGGATGGCGGAGACAGCAGCCATCCTCACCGATGCCTCCTTCCTGTCGGGCCTGAGCGCCTCCCTGCTGGAGCGGCGCATGCCCCCAGCCCCGGGCGGCCCAGCCCCCACCCCTATGCCCCAGGACGTGGGCACCCCTGCCTCCCAGGAGAGTGAGCCCAGCTCTGCCCCCACGAACCCCGAGAGCACGTCCTCAGAGGCCGGCAGCTGAGCTTGTGCGAGCCCTGGCTCCCCAGCCAGCTGGGCGTGACCCTACTGACCCGGGCGGCCGGGAGGTCCGTCACACTGACAGGTCTCTTGGGTCTGCAGGCCCTACCCCCTTGGGCTCAGGTGGGCTGGGGTCTGCTCTGATGGGCCTGGCGGGTGGCCAGGCTCTCCTAGCCTGACAGCCATGAAGTGCAGGCAGCCCACTGAGTCAGGGCACAGGAGCTAACTGGGCTTTCTCGAAGGTTCTAGAAGGGGCTGTTGGAGATCAGGTGGCGTGTCCGTGGATGGAGCTCTGTGGCTAGGTGGAAGCAGGGACCAGCAGGGTGGCACAGCTTTACCCTGTCTCCTTTGCAGGCCGGCGGCCTGGAACGCCGAGTACAGTGCCTTCTCTAGCCGCCGGCTCCCGGCCACTTATTGAGGACACCAGGCCGCTTTTCCACTATTTAATTGCAGTGTACAAAATTGTGTTTGTATATAGAATAAATCCTCTGTTACAGCGCTGCCACTGTGTGCATACCGCCGGGCGCATCTCCGAGGCGCTCACGTGCCAGGCGCAGGGGCCTGTCACTGTCACCCAGCTGAGCACGGAGCTCGCCACGCCGCACCAGCGCCTGTCGCAGCCGCTCGCGCACCCCCTCGATGTGCGCCTCCAGTGTCTCCAGCTCGCTGGGGCCCGGGCCGCCCGAGGACGGTGGGGTGGGCGCGCGGCCGTTGGAGCAGAGCCACACGGGGCCATCCGGTGGGCCTGCATCCGCCCCCGTGTACATGTCGGTGTCGGCAGCCGGGGGCTCCAGCAGGAAGCGCACACGGCGCTGCTCCGTCCTCACGGCGCGGCGCACCCGCCTCCAGCCACCTCGGCCTGGCACCGGTGCCACCTGCTCCCCGGGCTCCGCAGCACCGCTGGGGACGAGGCTGCGCTTCAGCTGGCTGGAGGGTGGTGCCACGCCCTACCACGCCACATGGACTCGGCCCCACCATGGGGGGAGGCAGCCTGGCGACATGGGGCTGGGGTCTTGGGGAAGAACCCAGTGGGTGCTGGGGCCTCTCTAGCCAGAAAGGGGCCGTGGCTGAGGGTTGAGGCTACAACCCTGTGCCCCCAGGGAGGCTGCCCATGCCAAGGCTTTCAGGGTCCCACCCCTTACCTGGTCTCGGGTGCCTGCGGCCGCTCTCCACTCTGCAAATCTGGTTGCGGCTCAGTGTTGAGAGCCCGGTGGATTTTCTAGGGGTGCACAGGGGCCGGTTGGGGGTGCAGCCGGGCAGGGCACGCTCCCCCCCCTGCTTGCAACCTGGCGGGGCACCACACCTGGCTCGTGTGCAGCCAATACTGTAGCTTGTTTCCCCTGCGGATGCGTGGCAGCACCAGGCGGTAGAAGACATGCTCACCCAGTGAGCTGAGCAGGGCGCTGCCCAGGCCCAGGCACAGCAACACAAACAGACCCGAGAAGTGGTAGATGCCCATCTGGAAGGTCTGCAGGTGACAGGATGCCAGCCATCCAATCACAGTGCCCCACCCCCTGAGCCAGGGGCAGGGAGGTCGGACCCCATGTGTGGCCCAGGGTGGACGTGGACCTAGAAAGCTTTGTGGGGGGGGGGAGTTTCTGGAGCTGGATTTTGAGGGTTGAGCAGGAGGGTACTGTGACAGTGGTGTGTGGTGGGCCTGGCCGGGGGCCGCGCCCACCTCAGTGACAGCGATGGCCCGCTTCCCGCATGGCACCATCTTGTACCACTTGTCGTGCAGCAGGTCGATGAAGCCCGAGGACTTGTAGCTGCTGATGAACTCGGACAGGTTGGACGTCAGCGGCGAGTTCTGGGGCAGCCCAATGCCGTAGCCTGGGGAAGGCAGCCTGCAGGATGGCACCAGTGCACCGGCCCACAGAGGCTCCCAGTCTCCCCAGCCAGCCCGTGGCTCCCTCACCCTCTATGGCGAACGGCTTGCCCACGGTCAGCAGTTTGCAGTCGGCGTCGATGGAGACCTCGTAGTCCAGGAGGGACTTATCCATGATGAAGGCGTTGAGCTTGGGGGGGTCACTCCTGCAGAGGGGTGTGTGTGTGTGGGCGGAGCCTGTACTCACCTGCCGGCACCCCTGCCCGGCCTGTGCTCACGTGAGCATGGCGACACCGTCCGGCGTGGTGGCGGCACTGTGGCGGCGCATGTGTGCGTGCATCCCGGGGAAGCTCTTCCTGATGTAGCCCTCGGCGCTGCTCTCACGCACGGTGCCCACGCGGAAGCCGGGCGGCGGGCGGTGCAGCTGCGGGGAGGGGAGGCTCAGCCCGCTGCCCACAGCCCCGACCAGGATCCGTCTCGCACCCCAGAGGGGCTGTCCTGTGCCCCGCAGGCTGTGGAGCAGCATCCCTGGTCTCCCCACATTTGATGCCAATTTAAATTAAAAAAAGAAACTGACTCATAGCGATCCTACAAGACAGGCTGGCACTGTCTCAGATCATTGAAAGCTGCCTCTCTCCAGAAGAGCTGCTGGTGGCTTCAAACTGCTGACCTTGCAGTTAGCAGCCCAAAGCATAACCACAAGGCCACCAGGGCTCGTTTTGATACTCATAGCTGTTCCACCCCCTCACCTCCCAGTCAAGACATCTGCAATGCCCCCACCCATTGCTACTGAGTGGATCCTGACTTGGGGATTCTATGTAGGGTGTACCAGACTGCTGCTTTCTCTCTGGAAACGGCCCATTGCCCAGCCGCAGGGGCCTGACTAAGATGGAGGAGTAGACTCTTCCTAGGGTTCCCCAGGTTGTCAATCTCTACGGAGGTACGCTGCCTGCCTCTTCCCATTTCTCCCCTGGGGAGCGGTTGTGACCTCACTTGGCAACCACCCTTTCCGTGGCAGCAGGGGACTTGAATGTTTAGCTTGATTTTAATGCATTTTGATTGAAGTGCTACCACATGGGTCAAGGGGTATCTAGATTTTATGATCCTGTGGGGAGAGCATGCTCGGGGCTCAGCTCAGTCAGGACTCTGGCTGGGATAAGCAGCCTGAGGGCTTCAACAAGTGCAGCCTGGACAGAGGTAATAAAGAATGAGGGTCACAAACCAGGTGACGCAACACCTAAGCGCACACTCGAGCAAGATGGGGCTGAAGTCCGTCCAACAAGGGTTGCAGCAGGAGCTGCCCAAATTCAGACCAGACTCAGAAGGACGTGGAGCAAGGGGTGTCCTTGCTGACGTCAGAGGCACGTCGGCCGAGAGCAAAGACTACCAGAAAGTGCTTTGTTGACCGTGCAGAGCTGTGTGGATCTTTAACAAAATGGCTAGCTTTGTGAAGGACACTTCCTTGTGCTCTAAGACCAAGAGGCAGTCAGCCGAACAACACACGAGGGGCTGTTGAGTGGCTGTGAACCCATGAGCGTGTACATCACGGTTGTGGCCAGAAGCCACACGTACTCAGTCTGTATGTCGAGCAGGCAATATGAGAAGCCAGACTGACGAAGAATGTGGTCGGGTTTGGAGGACAGCTCATTGACCACCTGCAGGCGACCCAGGGGGCTTGAAGCACTGACAACCCAAAACGACCACCTTCTGAACGGATTACACATCAGTGCACAGAAGGCAGAATCTTCACTCCGGGGTCAGTAGACACCACCATGGTCAATGGAGGAGAGACCAAAGCTGTCACGGATCTCATTGTGCTTGGTTGGATCCACAATCAACCTGCTGGAAGCAGCAGTTGGGGGACCAAATGGCACGGCAGGAGGCAACGCTGCACGGGGTCTCTTCACAGTGCCAGAGAGCAGAGCTGTCCCTGTGAGGACTGAGGTGACCTGACCCGAGCCAGGCATGGGCTCAGCCCCCTCATGCGTGTGAACGTGGGGATGATAAGGAAGGCCAAAGAATAAATGCCTTTGAATTGTGTTGGTGAAGATGGCATAGTCCATGGGCGGTCAGAAGAACAAACCTATCTGGGTCCGGAGAAGTTCCTTGGGCATTCTTTGGACATGCTGTCAGGAGGGGCCAGTCCCTGGAGGAGGACACCGTGCTTGGTAAGAGGAAGGCCCTCAGATGAACAGGCACAGTGGCTGTGGCTGTTGGCAGTGCCAGTCTGGGCAGTGTTTTGTCCAGCTGCCTGTGGGGTGTGCCTGGTCAGCAACCACTCAGCGGCACCAGACTACAGCACAACAGGGACGGAGCGAGAGGCAAGAGAGGTCAACCGCATGCGGTGTCTGAACTTGGCAGATAAACTGTGGTGGGGGGGTGGGGGTGGCCCTGGGAGTTTGGCTTCTGAAAGATTTACAGTGAGGTGATACCAATTCTGGGATTCGTTTCAAACCAATCCGGTGGGCAGGGGAGGGAGGGGCCACTGCATGGACCTAACTCCCCGAGAGAGCTGATTTTGGAGCAGAGAGATAGGTTTGAGGAGTTGACAGTGGGCTACTGAGGCATGTTCTAAAATGTCCATTAAAACAAACCGGGTGGAACCAGGTCCCAGCACTGCCCCTCTGCTCTTTGTCCTCCAAGAGGGAGGTTGTCAGGGAGGGCATGAGCACTGAGTCAGCCTGCCCTAGCTCTGCTCTGCTGGCCTTCCCTGGGGAGCCCACCTCCCCTGCCCACAGGGCTCCCCTCCACTCCCTGCCCTCACTAAGCTGCCCCACTCACCAGACACGTCGTGCCT